TCGAGGAAAGTGATTCATGCGTGTGTTTGCTATGCGGTGAGAAATGCACCCAATATCATCTGGCTGAGTGCAACCACCGAGTGCTTAGCATTAATGACTATTCTAAAAATAAGTGAAAAACTTTGGAAACCCTGTCGCGCAAACTGATAAAATAAATTGTGAATCTTAATTTTAACCTTCTAAGATGTAAGTTGAAAGTTGTACTCAATTGAGTTTTCAATAAAGACCATATATGCAATGTTATAGTAATACACCTAGGGATATACAAGCTGATTTAATTTCAAAGGGATGGTATCAATTACGCAGTTAGCAAAGACCTGTTTGTGGTGAAAACTACATTTAGATTATGCTACAAAAAGCATGAATTTTAATTTACTAAAAAATAATGTTCTGCTGTAATTTACAAGGACAAAGTAGAAAATTTGGTGTAAATTGAATTTAATATTAATTTTGAGGCCCGCCAATTTCAATAAAAAGAAAAAAACTGTTGAATAATTACAAATAATGGCATATTCTTTTTCTGATCAATTTTTTACTCTGCGAATAATAGCGCTTTTTAATTTTTTAAACGTCCTTGCGCTGAAAAATCGGAAGGAGGAAGGTGATCAGACAGCATGATGTGTATTAACCTGTGCATTACAGGAATGCAGTGATTCTATTCAAATATCCTTTGTCTGAATTTCCTGCCAACCTTTTCCCTGATTGCCGCAAAATGTTAAACATGCACATTGTTTCTGCCAACGAAAGAAAGTACGCGGCGAGAAAGCTCGCATTCTATTTTCGACAAGTCGCTGCTGCCGCGACAATGATCTCTCGCACTTCCCACTACACGTCATTATGTGCATCTCATCCCTGCTCTCGCCGCTCATTATGTCACCGTACGATAATTAAGAGCACGTGTATGAGAATTAGCCGATCCCTTCCTTCGGGCTGTGAGAGCTAGGCCAATTTTGATGGAGTAGTGGTGGCGCGAAATACATCATCATGTGAAATTGTGCAATAAAAGTGCGCCGGTTGCCGCATTTTGCGTTCTGTCGTCCTCGTGGACTGATGCAAACTTTGCTTGTGAGATTCACATAAAAACTTTTGGATTGCTTTCATCTCCATAGTCTGTAAGTTTATACGCCCTTTTTTAAATTCTAAAATTTAACAATTGTGTAATAAAATTTTGTTTTTCACAAAGTTAAGTATCAGAAAAGTAATTTTTTTGCATAATTTCCTGCTGATTTTTCCTGGAGTGAATCTGGGAGCTAATCTCTGTCGATTGTTGAAGAATGTTTTTGTAAAATTTCCTTCACTCTAATGCGAAATTAAAAAAAAAACAGCTGTTTTAATAACTAAAAGACAGAATAGCTTTAAAAATAATTAATAGATTTTTTTATTTTAAAAACACTATTTAGCGAATAAAAAAAAAACATTTTTTCTTCAAAAAATCAAATAACTTGCTATTTTAGTAAATAATCTTGTAGTGATCATAAATCATAAAAAAAAATGGAAAATTACCTGCAAAATTTATTTACAAAAAAAATGTGACTGCAACAATTTGCTTTAAAAATATTTTTTTTGTAAATTATGAATAAATTGCTCTAATTTTTTATTCCAATCAAGTCATGAAAAAACTAATTGAAAAATAATGAGCAGAAAGACCTATCAAAGGTCTGCCAAAACGGTCGACATGCTGGGTGACGCGAAATTCACACTTCACACTATTAAAAAACGATCACACCACATTAAAACTGCTTCAAAGCAGAGATTGCAAATTATCCTCATTAAAATAATTCAAAACTCATGAATTATGGCTGCATCCCGTAGGTGGAACATGAACAGCAGATTTCTTGCTTTTTTCCTTTGAAAAAACAAATAACTCCAAAACCCCACGCAGCAGAATGGGTTTTATATTATCATTGGAAAGAAATGGTCAAATAATTTTTTTTATCAGAGTACTTATCGTAATAAAAATCTGCTCAACAGAATTTTTGTTTTATATTTGTGTCATACACCGTCTCTGCGTATAGTTAATTTTTTCTTAAGAGTTTGGGCACGAAGAATAAATCTTACATTATTATATAATGAGAAGAAACAAGTGCATCTTTTAGGATATTATTTATTTCTACAATAATTTTTGGTAATAAATATAACAAATAATGAAAATCTCAGCCTATAATTTCTAGTTTTAAAATATATATAATTTAGATAATTATTTGGCGGCGAGTTATAGTCAAAAAATCCATCCAATTTCTGGACAAATTCCGGCAATCGCACAGCGCTTCCTGTGATTGGAAATAAGTTGTAGTGACAATAAACGATAATGTGAGTAAAATTAACTCTCAATCTGGCTGGTTTTTCTGTGGTTTAGCAACTGTTTCATTTTTTTTTCTGTACTAAGAATTATTATCAGCTTTTTATCGCTTTTTACTTCCTCACAAAATTCGATAGTCTCTCTTCATTTTTTTTATATATTTAAAAATTCTGTCGTCCTATTTGTAGCGTGGAATAATACAAAAGTTATTTTTACTTTCAATTTCTGAGCAATCAAAAGCAGAATAAAATGTGGATCAATTTTGGGCAGATGCGCAATTTGAATAAAAAGTTATAATTTTAGTTTTTGTTTAATTACCTCAATTGAAAATGATGAATTGTCCCAATGCCTTCTTTTCCTGCCTCCTAACTGCAAATCAATGCAAATTAAGGCGCGGATGCGTCACGAACCCTTTTTTTTAACCCAGCGCCATGACCAATCTTATCTCTCTTGCAGCCTCGCTTACAAAATAATTTATCACTGCCACCCTAAAAATACATTTCACCAATCGATGGAAGCAAAAAGAATAAATTGTTCCAAAGCATTATGAATATTTATTTTGACGCAGAAATAAAGGAACTGTGGAATTTGCTGAATTGCGATTTGCCTCGCCGGCGTGGTTCCTCTGCCCTTTGTCGCGCAAAACCTTTACAATCCCGTCCTTGGCAGGGAGGTTTGATCGTCCCACTTGCTCACCCGCATCATCTCTGGCGCATTCCTTTGATGTGGCGGCAGCACCGCTCGATATCCATTCTGATATGTATGTCCTCGCGCTTTGTTGATTACTATTATTATTACATGTGTGTGCGCACTGCGTGATCGGCCTATTCATTGCTCGCCGACTTCAAAGCTGCTCTCGCCGTTAATTAATGAGCCTGCTTAAAACCAAATTCAAAACCCTGGCTAAGCTTGCACAGTGAGACTCGGATTTAGGATTCAAAAGTTGAATCAGAGCTTTGTATTCATTGCGGTGGTGGTGAGTAATATGAACTTTGCTGATTAGGATATTTTGAAAATTTGCAGGAAGCACACGCTCCGTTTACAATTAGTAATTCTTGAAATGCTGAAAATTGTAAAACAAAAGTGACACACCTAATTTTACTGTTTTATCCATACTAAAGTGGCATTACCATGAAGTTTATTGTTTTAAATTAAAAAAAAAAATTAAAATACAGACGCTTTTTGAACTGAAACCTCCAGAATATAAGAAAATTTCGTTTTGGCTTGTGATCTATGGTGTCAACAATACAAACGAACCAAAACAAACAAACGAATGTCCCAAATGATATGTATCGAGAACCACTGAATTTTTCTCAAACTCGTTTTGCACGAGCTCGTAAATTATGTATTTAGGGTGCGCGGCGAGACACATTACTTCTGCAATATTTGCTGGACTGGAGCTTGTATATGAGCCGCATGCACCAAGATCGCAGTCGCGATAGCGCGCGCCGACAAACTCTGCATACACTTTTCAGCTTGCTGGGTCTGTGCAGCGCCCCATTTTATTTACGTCATGCTTGAGGCTTAATTATACATAATTAGGGCAGCTGGCTGCTCCAGTGTTAGTTGAGTGAGTGCAACCAGAGTGACGGACTTGATTCCCATGCATCCCCCCGGGTGTAATATTGCCGCCCACGCAGCCCAATGATAATGCGGCTCTGCACTAAATTAAGCGTGCGAGACACGCGCCTCCACTCGGAGCATACTAATTCCATAATTTCATTGCGTAATGCAATTTTGACTCGGGTTTTGGTCTAATGGCCCTCCCTAATTCAACCTCTGCCGCTTTTTAATAGCGGCTATTATAAACCCAAGTTGTATTAATTCTGTTAATCTTGTATGTCAAATCTATATTGTCCTTAAATAAAGGTGTGAACTTCCAAAACGTCGAGGCGAAAAGAAAAATTAAAAACTTCTTGATATGGATTAAGATTGCCAGAAGATAAACAATACCTTTCTTCCAAGGAATCGGAACCTAAAAAGATAAAAAAAAACCTTGCTGTTGTGAAATTTAGAGGGACGCTGCTCCTTTTATACTCTCTTATAAGGGGACTCGTTCTTGCAAGCAGTTCTTCACTTAAGCTTGATTCCGTGAGATTAGTACGTTTTCACCAATTTAAGTTTCTCAAACTTAAAATTTAAAAAGAAAAAACTACATCATCACAAAGTTTGCGTGAAAAATTTTGGATCGGCTAGTGGTTGGGTGCAGCATGAGAAGACACTTTGCTGTGAAGCTGATATTTACATTCAATTTGTAAAATTTGTGCTACCATGCTTCTTGAAAAAATATTTGGGCAAAAATTTTGAAATCCTCCAATATCAATTTTACTTTTCATAAAAAAAATCAATTTTTTGTTTATTATTTTGAATATGCGATTTTTTGTCTATTGACATAATGTATATTGGTCTTTTTTAATGCTGCGCAAGTGGGAATTTATTTGTACCCAAAAAATTGATTTCTTATTTTTTTTAGTATTTTATATTTGTCCAATTTTTCGCAACAAAATACTATATCAATATTGAAAAATAGTCAATTGTTAGAAGAGAAACGCGGAAAAATACCACTATATTGGATTCATAAACTATATCAATACGCCACACCAGATACCACTAGCGAGAATTTAGCTTAAACTTAAAAAAAAAGCATTAGATAATATTGAATTAAAATTTTTCAACTTTGACTTTCTTGTTTTTGTTGCAGTAATGGTGTCTAAAGAAGAGGAGGCAATCGCGTAAGAATCAAAATGAGAGGTGAGAAATGGATTTAAATAAATTTATAACTATGATTATTTGCTTAAATATTTCAGTTTGAATTCAATTGAATTGTTATATCATAAAGGAAGCTTATAAAGTAATGAAGGTTTGTTTTTGGTTTAAAAATGTCACTTAATAAAAAAAAATCTTAATAAAGAAAAATACATAATTATTGAACTTGTCACAGGAAACCGAGGGTCTCGGACGACGCCCCCGTTGCTGGCCGAGGAGGGTTTGGTGGGGCAACTGCACCAGATGCTGCCACCCTCCCGGGGTGCCCGTAGCCGCCGAAGCGCCTCCTGCATCAGAACGGCTGTGTTCATCTTCATCGTCACCTTCCTCTGGCTGCAGCTGCACATGGCCAACCTGAGCAGCAGCACCTCTGGCTCCACAAAGCCAGGCGTCGTCTCCACTCCGGAGGCCGAAAACACGCTGCAGCAATTCCTCAATGTCCTTCCAGTTCACCTGCACAAGTTCCTGCTGGGCAGAAACAGCACTCAGAATGGCACCGACGTGGCGCCGCCGCACTTCAATACATCCATGATCAAACAGGCCATCGAGCAGTACAACCGTTACCAGGTGGTGCTCAACGAGGACACCTTCGGTCCACTGCATAATGATTCTCTAGTCATTGTTGTGCAGGTTTGTTAATAAATCAATAATATACCCAATTTAATTAAACATTTAAAAATTTTTTATTTATTAAAAATTGAGGTTACACAAATTAACATCGATTTTATACACTGTATAATTTTTTAAGGAAAAGTTTTATTTAAAAATTTGTGAGGCACTAAATTATTTCTTTATTATTTATTCTAACAGTGAGAAAATAATCTCTATTGAGTTGAGCTACTTTTAAACTCTGGACGATGTTCTTCACTCTATTCTGTTTTTGTTTTTCGTCTCTTTTATTAATTATTTGCAGTTCAAAAGTTCACCGTATTTAATCAGCTTGCCCTCAATATAGGTCCACACAAGAATCACATATCTGCGGCACTTGATTGTTAGTTTGGCCCAGGCAAAAGGCATTGAGAATGTACTGCTGGTTATAAGTCACGACTTTTTTGACCCTGAGATCAACGAACTGGTGCACTCGATAGACTTTTGCAAAGTGATGCAGATTTTCTACCCTTATTCCATCCAGACTCATCCAAAAGAGTTCCCTGGCGAAAGTCTTAGTGACTGTCCAAGAAATATCAAGAAAGAGCAGTAAGTATTTAAATAATTAGAAAATTAAATATTATACTGTTGTCAATTCGTTAGTGTGAGTGTGTTTATTTCTTATTGTAGATCATTTTTTAAGAATTTGTGATTAACAAATAAAAATTCTTAGATATATCAATTAACATAATTGATAAGAAATTATCAAAATGATGTTCATTAAAAATTACGATCAAAAATGTTGCAAATATAGAGTGAGAGAATTAAAATAATTTCTAATTTTCTGAACTTCCGGCACTCCTAAAGCTTAACAATTAATTCCAGGGCGCAGAAAATCAAATGTATCAATGCAGATCATCCAGATCTGTATGGGCACTACAGGGAGGCAAAGTTCACACAAACAAAGCACCACTGGTGGTGGAAGGCAAATAGGGTGTTTGACCATTTGGAGGTCACCAAAAACCACACAGGTTTGCTTTCATTGATCTCCTTTTTCCCAAAATAACTATTTCTCTCAGGGCTTGTGCTCTTCCTGGAGGAGGACCACTACGTGGCTGAAGACTTTATTGAAGCGCTAAGACTTATGAAAAAGGCAACGGCCATTCACTGCGATAAATGCAACATTCTCTCGTTAGGAACCTACCTTAAGACTTACAATTACTACGGTGATTCCAAAAACGTGAGTCTCTTTTTGTGGCTTGCTTTGTGCATTTTCAAAATCACTCCAGAGCTTTTGTACGCATTTCTAACATGTGGATTTGGGTGTGTGCAAAATTTACAGAAAGAAGCTGCCAAAGCCAAGCGTTTGGGTATCAGCACCTCTAACATTCCTCCATCCTGGAACTTTGAAATATTGCCCACTCTCTATCAGCAGTACCAGAAGGTCACTAACCTCTTTCTGAAAGCATTTCTGAATTTGCATGAAGTTCATGAGTTTAGATCATTTTACGATTTTGCCTTTTTATTTGTGCACAAATGTATGCTTTGATTATTTTAATACACGCTTTTCATTTCCTTGCTTCCAGAATTAAATTTTCATTTTGCTTGATTCTTTAATTCCACACTCACGCCTTCTTTTTTTTTCAGCAATTTTTTGTTTCCATATTTTGTGGAAAAATTATTAATATCTTTGACTCCCTCTGCGAGTAACTTTTATTAGGAAACTTTTCATCCTAAGAGTGCCTTCGAAATTAGTTTTCAGAAAAATCTAGATTTATTGACAAATTACAATTTATAATTTCATATGAGAAGAAAGCATTTAAAATTCACTGAAATTAAAATATCAAAATTCTGCATAAATACATATTTAACATCCTGTTTTTTTATATAAGAGACTTTTTGAATTCCATACTAAATAGTTATCACTAATTTTTAAAATGAACTCTACAGGCGGAGGTCACTCCGTGGGTAAGTAGCAAGCACAACATGGGCATGGCCTTCAACCGGACAACGTGGCGAGAAATTCGCAAGTGCGCTAAGTACTTTTGCGATTTTGATGACTACAACTGGGACTGGAGTCTTCAGCAGGTCTCGCAAAACTGCATTTCTCACAAGTTGTTTGCACTAGTCATGCGAGGACCCAGGGTTTTCCACGTTGGGGAGTGGTAAGCCCTCTTTTATTTCAAAATATTTCCAGCTTAAATCTTTGATTTTCTCTAAAGCGGAGTACACCACAAGAAGACAAACTGTGAGTCGACTGCTGCAATAAGCAAAGTGCTGAAGGTGCTGAAAAATGCCAAAAAGCATCTCTTCCCGTCCCACTTGACTCTCACCATACCGGCCAACTTGAAGAAGCAGAAGCCCCTGCGCAAGGGCAACGGTGGGTGGGGTGACAAGAGAGACCACCAGTTGTGTTACAACATGACGGTAAAAGACTTTGTACTCAACTAGGGTCATTAAGTTCGTGGCAAGTCGATATAAATGTGTGCGCGCGGACAGGAGATTTGAGCCTAATTAGATGCCAAAATTCAAGTAGATATGTTAACCAGCGGTTGACTTATTTTGCTTGACTCTAACTTGAGGCGAAAATTATTTCAAAGCTACACATTCTATTTTACATAAAGACATTAATTTGCTGCCTAATGCCTAAAATGTCTTGATTGAGTCAATTGTGAGTAATATTTTGTGATTTTGTTGATTTATATTACGACCGCTCAAATTTAATTGTATGTGTTTGTCGCACAAAAATTGTATGTTATTGTTTTGTCATTTTTATGAGTGCACAAATATTTCATTATTTCTACATGCTTTCTTAATGTTGTCGTCATTTCCTGTTGTCGCTCTAGTCAAACCACATCCTTAATTTACTTACTCTTCATAGGAGTCCTTGTCAAAAAAAAAAAAACGCAGTTGGCAAGACCAATTTATTGTGATTTTTATGATCTGAACTTAAAATTCCGGTTCATGCATGGCTTTCTTCTATATATGAATGAGTGATTGATAGGATTTTGTAAATAAGTGTAGTTAGCAATCTCCAGGATGCTGATATTTTTAGATATTTGGAGAAAGCAATTTGTGGAAAATATTTTCAATGACTTGTCATAATCAGTGATTGAGCAAGAGTGAAAAATACTCTTACAATAATAACTTTCTTGTCAGTGTTGCTATCCTTGTATTTTGCTTTATGCAAAAACTTGATACAATAAGTAAATGGTGTGCCACTTGTATACTGTGCATTCACTTTTTTAATTTCTACAAAAACCCTTACCATGATCATCAACAACAAAAACAATTGGAGGGATTGTAAGGAATTGAAAAATAACCTTTTTATATTTATTTATTTATAATGGCAAATCCGGAATAATTTCATCTAAGAGCAAAAATAATAGGATTTCGTCCAGATTTTTTTACATCATATAGTGCATTTTTAAAGAGGCAATTTATCTAAAAGCTATAAAAACCTACAATAGGAATCTGGGAAGTGCTGCCTCTTTTCTTTCAATTAATTCATTAATTGTACTTGACGTTTTGGGCTTATTTGCCACTGAGCTGCTCATAGAGCTTGGGGACGTAATCGTCCCACTGGGCCTGGTAGAAGTTTCCAGCCACAGGGTTGCCCAGGTTGTACTTTTTGGCAAAGTTGCGGATGGAGAACTTACCACGGTTGTCGCCAGAGCGGTTGGTCAGGCGAGGCTCATCAAAGGTCAAACTGCCAGACTGTTTGAAGATAAGGAAAACATATCTGTGCAAGCCTGCAAAAGAGAGTTTACAAATTAAATAATAAGCAAATAGTCAGCTCTTGTTAACCAAGGCTACTTTTATTTGTTTAATTTAAGGATGTTTATGAACTAGAAGGATGTATGCATACCAGTTCCTTGCGGAGGTCCAGAGCCAACATACTCGGAGAGGGTCTCGCCCTCGGCAATTTTGGTTTCGGGGACATTCCCGACCAGCCAGTGGTGCCACTCACGGAACTTTGGCTCAGCACGGCTGGGTGCATCAGGATCTGTAAAAAATTGTTTTATGAAATTTACATAAATTCTTCTCCAAAATAAATAAATAAATAAAAATTAAAAGTGATAGAAATCATTTAAAAATAACTTGTCAGTCAGATTTGTACATATGAAAGATTCAAGATTAAAAAGAAAAAAAATGATATTTGTTTGTGGTGAGAGGATATTACCAGTCATGCAGACAGTGTACAGGGCACCCTTCTCAGCATTCCAATTGACGGTAGGGATGTTCTTGACCTGGGTAGGAGTGAGTTCATTGCCCTCGTTGACTGTTACACCACTGTCGTATGATACCTAAGGTTTTATTAAATTGAATATAATTCTGAATTTTACAACAAGAAATATTAATTTTTACCTGAGCAACTTCAGTGGGAGCCACGTCGATGACGTCTGGGACAACTCCGTGCTGTTCCATGCTTCTGGCAAGGGTAGAAACCGACCTTTTGACCACGTTTGAGATCACTTGTCTGCCGGCTCCGCCGAAAACGCCTAGAACCATCTGTGCGCAAACAAAAATGCCGAAAATGCGTTTTAGTTTCATTATGTCACTTTGAATGACGAAAGGCGACTGAAAGGTCGGAAGAGCAACTCTCCCGGAACGTTACCAAGTAAAAATCTAGCTGATGTACCGTAATTTTGTTGAATAAAATTAAATTTACAAGGTTAACTCCTTCCAGTTGCTCCTCGTCTGTCTCATTTGCATACAAACGCGCGCGAAATTTTCAAAATTCAAACACTTATCTATGAGAATAAAAAAATCTTGTATTTTCATAATATCTCTCCTATAATTTTGATAAAAATTTGCATTAATAAAATTTCAGTTGGTTTTTATAATTTCTGACAAAAGGTTGGAGTGATATTCAGTCAGAAATCCGTAATTTACCGGAAAAAAAGTCTTTTACGTTAGAGTTGTTGTTGTGCATTTAAATGCCCCCGTTAACCAATGGAACGTCGCCATCTATTCTGCAGAGCCAATCACGTCTCTAGATGTGAAACGCGGAGAGCACGTCGGCCAATCAGCGTTCAGCAGCCGTCATCATGCCCGACCACGTTTGATGTTTGATTCGTTTTGCACCGGCTGCCGGCTGCCCAGTTCCGCTCATCTCTCTCCTGTGGCTGTGGCTGGAAATTTTCGAAGCAAATTTTATTGCTTTGAGATGCTCTGGCTCCTTTCGTGACTGCCTGTCGTCATATAACAACTTCATTCGCCCGAAATGACTGAAAAAACGAGATAACTCCCGTCTCCAGGGCTGCAACAGTGGCAAATAATACTCAGAGGTATGCTGCCGTTCAGGCTTGCCGACCACCTCGGGGCCGAAACGCCTCTGGTCGTGCAATTATCACTTTACGCAATTTAAAGTTTCCTGTCAATGAACTAATGGATTTGTTAATCACCCAGGCCCGACTGAACAATGGAACCGTCACTGCCGAAAGTGCTGCGCCAGTTTCACCTCAGCAATTTTATTAATTTGGCCGACTCACCGGCCCCTCCGACTCCGGCTCTTCGCAAGAAAACAGGACTGGCCTCACCAACGCACAATGGGCTATCTCCGATGTCAATGCTAGCCCAAGACATGGGCAGTGCAAACTTAAACGACCTCGCTACTCTGAAGCGAAGACTGTCCCTCAGCAGTCAAAGCGGAACCCCGAGCCCTTCTCAAATCAAAGATAGAAGACTGAGAGGTCAGTAGCAAATTTGAGGATGGTACATAGGAAATTTTGGTGTGAAAAAATGTCTAACATCATTCAATTCTGGGCATGTTTTAAACACAATTAATATACATAACTCCGTTAAATATTTTGAGATCTCTTTATAACTGCTGGATTGTTGAGCAGAGTTTAAGGCAATAACTTATACTTTTAAAATAAGATCAGCGTTCACAATGTTTTGAGTTAGAGGTCTAACTTGTATTGAATTTAATTATATAAATTTAGATCTAAAAAAATTAGGCAGGAAATGATAGCCTGGGTGATAATTTAAGTTAACATTTATCTGTCATTTAATTTTATTCATACTTAATTCATTTAAGAAAATAATGTTTATGATTCAATTTTTCAGCCCAAAAAAATATTGATTAAAAATAATGTCGTATTTAGCTTAAAATTAATTAACATCAAAAAATTTTATTTCAAAAGACTTTTAACATGGATTCAGAAACTGAGCGAGAAAAAACCAATGCTCGGAAAATTAGCAAAATATGTTAGGAGTTTGGGAATTCTGCTCCATTATGTCCTTAATTAAATCACACCTAGAGGATAAAGTTTCATTGATTTTTTTTTACTTATCTATAACAATAATTTTAGGGGAATAATTGTGTTTGAGCAATGATTTAAAAATGAAAATTTTTTAAAGTATGATACAGTATGATAGGATCTTGGGTTTAAAACATAACGAATTTAAAAAACTTGATTTAAAATTTTTATCTAATTTTTGACCTAATTTTTTTTAAGTAATTTTTTATTTCTGCATTTTATAAAATAAACGTTGGGCCAACGGTAGAGATTTTGGTCGTTTCAGTCTCTCCCGCTGGCAGTCAACTGCTGCCCCCGTGGAATGCGGCGAGCAATGAGCTTGCTTGCTCAATTCAAACGCTCCCGCTAACTGATGCTTTGGTTTTGTAACGAACCGTCACAACTTTTCCCAAAAAGAAGTGAAACCAAAATTGGATTTGATCGTTTCTTTAGCTCGTAATAAATTTTGCAAAAAGCGCAAAATGACATCAGACGTGGGCCACCTTGCAAGCAACCGTGTTCCTTTGTCAAATCCAGTTCGCTTTTTTGCAGCTGCATAGTTACTTATTCAAAACTCACATTCCTAGTTTATTTTCGTCTGCAGCTATATTAACCTGCTTTTATTATGCGCAAAAAATGTCACAAAAAGCTGAACGAACTGAGTGAGGAACTTGTTTGAAGATCAGGCAGTTAGCGAATAAAAAAAAATTGAAATTGGAAAATCTAATTTGCTCGGGATTTTTTGTTTTTCCACCGTATAAAATTTGTAATTAAAATGTAAATCAAAAGAAATATAGAAAAAAATTCAGTTTGGGAATAAGAGGGGCGACAACCGTCGGAAAGAACAGGTATAACTGGAGGTAGCCTGTTGCTAGCTGTCAAGGTGAAACGGTTACTACCCTCCCACCCAGCGCCCCTCCCCCGTGACCGGTATGCACACGTGCCAAGACCATATTTCCACCCCTTGCAGACCGACCCCTCTAAGGCAGCAGATGTCGATTCCGGATTTTCCACCGGCTGACTCCTGAGGGCAGCGGCCCCCGTAACGAAATTGCCCCGAGTTTCAACCTCTGGGTGATTTCACAGCCTGGTCCGTCGGGGGATGCGAGACCGAGTCTGCTCGAGAGTGTCAATGAGCGGCTTTTGTGTTCTATTCTTTCGGCGCGATTTTCATACATACACACCCCTTTGATAACCGTCGGCTCAGAATTCTAAACAATGCTCCTTAATTATACATGCTCTCTTACAACAATGTGCAATTCGTGGCATTGCTGATTTAATTAATCCAAAACTGCTCACTGAAACGAATGAAACGCAAAATTGTGAGCTGTGGACTGTGGAGAGAAGGCAAAACACAAAGAATTAATTTTAAAAATAAAGGGTTTGCTGCAAAAAAATAGATTTTTTTTTAAATAATCGTTGGTGTGTATTCATTTTTATCAACCTTTTTTTTTAAATAAATTTCGTGTAAAAAATAGCCTTTCCGTAAATAGATTTTGTTAAAAAAAAAAATTAAATTTCTTTTTCTTTTTATAACTTCTCAAAGAGTTCTTTATTATTCATCTTACGCAATAAATAAAACAATATAATATATCAAATGTTGATGACGAAGTGCCTCTGCAGTTTCCAGAATGGCCTTTGCCACCGAAGCATTCGCTGCTCTCAAATAGTTAGCAAGTTGTCGACGCAGCTCTTTGTTTGTTCAGTATTTTTCTTATCGTGCTAACTGCCTTCCACACGAGCCGCTCATTCTGCGGCCCACAATGATAACAGCCTGAACAAGATAACACTTCTGGGTTTTGCTCGAGAAGACGCTATAGCCGGCCGGCGTCTCGTAAGCCAAATCGTGAGATATCTCTCAAATTCTGACGGTATACAGAGGAGTGGATTGTAAAAATATTATGGATTTGAAGGACTGTGGATCGCCTATGGAGGTGGAAACTGGCAATGACACTGGTATGAGCTATTTTTTATTGATAAATTTCAATGGGAGACAAAAATTCATACAACACCAGACTTTCCTCATTTCTTTTCCTCTCGATAAGATATAAATTCAAGATAAATTAATAAACTCAATAATGATCCAGGTTGTTCTTTTCAAATTAAGGGCAGTTTAATTCATAATACAACATAATCATGCACTTTTTAAGGAATCAACTTGTTAATATTTATATTTTTCGTTAAATTTGCTTAGAAAGTTGGGAGGTACATTTATTTATAATGTGTCAGGTACTATATTATTTTTATTAAACGTAAAATAATTTTTCAATCAGAGCCAAACCAGTTTTCTTTTGCGCAATTTTTGCAAAATTCCATTTGGATTTTACTTTCACGTATATATGCTTGAAATACTTTCCCACTAATTTGGTGTAAATCATCTGCCGCCTTGGGGGAATATCTACTCATTAAATCAGTCCAGGTGGAATGCTAATTCCGTCGACGGATATATATTCGGTGCGGAAGAAATAATGAATAAGAAATACGCACGACAGCAGGTGAGATGTGCGTAAAAAATGGAATTCGTGAATGCGCCGAGAAAAAGAAAAGATCCGTTGGAAGTCTGTCTGCTGGTAGAATAAAAGCAAGGAGCGCACTGGGGTAGCGAAACTCACGACAGGGGAATATGAATGCACACACACACATACCTGTCTGCCTTAAAGTTCTTACCCCATGTCCTTGTTGCAATCTGAAAGCCCTTTTTTGTTTGTACTTTTATGCTGTGCCTCCATCTCCTTTCAAAGCATTAGCAGAAAAAATACTAGAGTGCTGCGTTGGCAAATAGAAATGAAATATATATTTTTTGCCGCGCCGACATCAGTTTATTCTCACTGATCAAGTGTGATTTTTTATTCGTCACCCCTGTTCATCGCCATATAGTTTCAAAACAAGATTCTTCCAAACGCATAAAACTTGAAAAACTCTTAATGTTGAGACATGCAGGAAAACTCGTTTTTGTAAATATAGATTAAATATCAAAACAAGTTTTTTTAAAAGTATTCTCTCAAATCTATTGGTGAGTAAAATTTTGAGCATTTTGCTTTCATGGTTACAAAATAATCAAAGTTTTAATAATTCAGGATATTAGCAAGAATAAATCAATCAATTTATGGATGGATATATAAGCATGCAAAATTAAAATCCGAGAAATTATCAGGAACTTTTAAATCTGAAGTTTTTAAACAAATTTGTGTTAAAATTTTAAATCAATCTATTTGGTTACAAAACGGGGTCACGGATTTTTCTGACCTAAAACCATTTTTTGCTGCTGATTAATTGACTTCCTTGAAATGAAGATTGAACATTTGTCAGGATAACTATTTTAGCTCTTTCAATTAGATAAATTGTTATAAATTTCTACAATTAAATGCAACAGAAGATTTTTTTGACTGTTTATATAGTAAAAGTCTAGCTTAATACGTGATGCAGTTTTGGCCAAAATTTTGATGCTCATTTTGCTATATTAATTCATGCTCAAACTTTCCCCTTGGGTGCTTTTGCACAGGTCTATGACCTCCATTGGCGCCAAATGTTGACATGTTCACCCAGCATGACCACCATCTTTCTGCACCCTTGGCCTTGAATTCACGCATACTAATTAACCAGCCAGGTTTTGCCGCCAACACTCTTCCTCAATTATTACCTCAAGCAACACATTGTGTTTCTTTGGCCAGTATCTCCTCAGACGATAACACGCGCTATTCCGGCGGAAACGCACCTTATTTTCTTTGGCCCGCGCCAAAAGCAAAACAGACTGCGTGTGGTAATTGGCCTGAGTGAGGGGGAGGTTTCAATGCAGAGCTTAGAAAACTCTAAAAGTCGAGGAAACGCGGTTCGCTGGGCTTGGTGGCAGCAACAACCCCTTTTTTCCGATTCATAAATTGAAACATGCTATACGCTTTAGAATAACTTGAAAAGGCCGGAGAGCAAACAGTAGTTTTACTCTTTATAGATGATTATCTGAATGAAAGAATTAAGCAGCTGGGCCAATAAATTTGACACCAAATGTGATTAGCGTTTTATGATAATTATGGTAATGAACGCACACGCCTGCAACGGACAGTTTAATCTGTCTTACCAGTAAATATTTAATAAGAAAATAAAACTTTTCAGAAACTTTTCTTCCTTATTATTTTTCAGATTGATAATTTTAATTTCAAATATTTAGGCAAATAAAATTTATCGTCAATTTTTTTTATTTTTCACAATTTTATTTTATTTTCATATTTTGGATTTCGCCATATTTTGCTGCATAATCTTAAACTAACTCAAACTAACTTTTTTTTCAGAACTTCAAATGAATTTCAGTCCTGACAACACGCCTAATGATTCGCCAAGGTAGGCATTTTCTTCTATTTTTCTTTTTTCAAGTTTTGAACCACAATTATTATTCTACGGATGATTTTTTCTCATTGACGGAACAAGAAAGGGATTAAGTTTGTTTTCACTGCTTGGGTTGAAATATGGACCAATGTTTGAAAACATCTGCGTAATAATATTTCCGATTCCCGCTGAGATTCATAGAAATGCGCACAGAGGTGAATATCCAATTAGCTGAGCTGTTGAATCTGAGCGCCCCTGTCGCGGGTTGATTCAGTGCACCTCAAATAACCAGTTGGTGCAGCAAAACCTGGACTTACTTGGGGACCAGTCGGTGGGTCTCCTTGGCTACTTTTTCCACCGTCAACGGCTTCGAGCTCATTTCGTGGAAGCCAATCCATATGTCCATATCCAACCAAACACCCCACAGCGACAAAATTCTCTTTTCTCTTCTTTTCTCGCTTGTGGAATTTCGATGCGTGCGGCAGGATTACACTCGGGGGATGTTTTGCTTTTGTGGCCGTGAAAAAAAGCAGCCTGAGAAAACGCATCGATGCGCGTATTTTTCCAAACCCCAGCACAACACGATTGAGGGAAAATGATAAAATTTCAGTAAATAAAAGTAGTCTTTGGAGATTTTGAAACTATTCTGGGTGGCAAAAGCTCTTTTCCTAGGTTGGAAAACAAGACCTGAGGGAAAACTTTCAGAGGTTTATTTCTACCAAAAAAAAAACGCAGTAGCTCAACAAAATATTGTTAAAATCTACTAATTTTGATAATTCAGCAGCCAATAACAGTGGAATAGAGGAAAATAATTTAAAACGTTCACACCAGAAACATTTTGGTTTTTCCATCAAATGCCATATTTTTGCGACATTTTTAATAGCACATGATGAACTTTTTAAAAATAAAACATTTTATTTTTCTGAGTTATGAATCAATTGAAAGTTTTCCTATCAAAAAACATAATTTAATATTAAACTATATAAAATTCAAAGTGAATACTTAGCTTTATCAAAAATTTGTTGGATGAAATTTTTAGGGTAATATCTTAAATTTTTTTGAAAAGGTTTTTGTATCCGCCAAGATTATGCCTTAATTTATTTACTAATATTTATTCAAATAATTTTACAAAAGTTAAAAATGCAGAGCAACATAATGATGAAAAGGAAGCGATTTAGTTGAAGTCAGTTGAAGTGGAAATGCAAAATAACGAAACATTTAGCAACGTCCATTGGTAGTTAATTGCAGATATCCTTTGTCTTTTCGCCCTAACTGCTGATTGTGAGAGGCAAATTCAGCAGCATTTTTTACTTCTTAAAAGTTCCTTTTATTGCCCTGAGCAGCTTCTGTTCGCTGCTTCTTCTCAAGAGATCACGCAATCCAACGCACTTAATTTCTTCCCACAACCTTCAAGTCAGCCCGTTTCCCATCGGCTCCTTCACCAAATAACATCCACAAATTTTCTTACAAATCCATTCATTGCTAGGATAAAAAGGCGCCCAAATTCTTTGCTCCGTTGTTGTCGCGCTTTTCAAAACGACGGATTTATCTTCAACGGTCTTTGAATTTTCGTCGGGGGTGCAGGTTTTGGGGTGAGTTATGGTGTATTAATAAAAGGGCGGCAAGCGGCGAGGAAACAGGTGGCAAACGTGCGCGGGCGGCTCAAAGAGCTGCAGATTCTTCTCAGCGCCTCAACAATGAAAAACGAGCTCTCATTTCCTGCGTGGCTTTGATTTTCGAGCAAAAGAATGTATGCGGGAGACACTCCTGCAGAAAATCGTGCGGAAATCGGCCATAATAAAACTGCAAAGCCCTACTAGTACTGAATGAGCAAACAGCTTGAAAATTAATATTGGCAAAGATGACATGGGAAAATCAGTCACGCGTCAAACAACGCCTTAAGGAGGAAAAATATTTTACGAAAAGGGAGATTTTGAAAGAATAAAAATTGGTCATAATTAAGATAGCAAAATCTTTAAATAAATAAATATCATTCTAAATAAAAAAAACCGACTTTGTATTTAGATATAACTTTTTTTATGAAAAATTAGTTATAAATAATTGAAAAAATTTCCTTTTTGAAACATATATTGGCGCCAAATTTATTCAATGCAAAGCTAATTAGCAATCTTTTCTGCCGATCGGCGTGGTTCGTACCAGCAGCTTCATTTCTTTTGTATTTTTCGACATTGGTAACAAAACTCCTTCCCGCATACATCTGAATGATCAGGGCACAATAATCAATTTTGAGCATCCTAACAAATCTCGGCCGTCACACAGACGAATTCATTTCGCGCCGCCGACCCACCTGCCCGCGGGCAACCAACGAACGAACCTCCACTGAATGGATCAGGAAGGTAGTTGTTCGCCTCTACCTGACAGCCTCACCTGCCCCATTCTTTGAGCTGCCGCACGAGCCGCGCACTTTGCTCGGCTCAAATCCCTGCTGCACCTTCCTATGCCCGTAACATATCACCTGCGTTAACGACTTTTTTCAAGAGAAGCACCTGATTCTTTGAAAGAAAGAAAATCGTTCAGATTTTGAATAAAAATGTAGTGTGTGGTGCATTAGGCGGGTGTTAGATTACGGAGTGCACACAGGAAGTGGAAGTAGGTTATCGAATGGCAGGGTTTTGTTCCAATTCAAATACTTTTTCTTATTTATTTGGTATTCCTTGACACGAAAACTATACCACAATAAAAAGACGTATTATTTTTCAATGCTTCATAATTCATAACGCTTAAATATTTGCTATTTTTTGTAAAAATCTAAAAGCGGACAGGTAATTTTTATCTTGATAAATTTATTGAGAGATCTCAAAAGATTTTCTTTTTAATATTTATACAACTTTTTCTGCGTATAGGAAAAAGTATAAAGATAAAATATTTTAAACAAAAGAACTTGGGTCCTCAAATATTTGAAATTCAGGAGACGATTTCCTTGCAAATATTTTGAAAAAAAAATCACGTTCGTCGCACACGCACAGATTTTGTAGTCAAATTTGCCCAGCTGCGTAATTCAATAAAAATCTGCTGGCTGCCTCATATTTCCATCACCTGCTGTCAATGGTCGGTTTGGGCTGCTGGGATTTCGCCTCCCAGATTGCGGCGACGGATGTTGCTTCGAAATTCTTTGGCGCGTCAGTTGGTGTTTGTCCCTCATCAGGTACAATATTCGCACCTGCTACTACAAAATTTTTCTTGCTCTCTCTTTTTTCATAATTTTTGAGGCGCCACCCCAAAGACTAATGAATCGACGCTCACATGCTGGCACTACTTTTGGGAGGCGTACAATTTCATGCCGAAGTAATTTGACCGTTTTTGAGGATTGGTATGTGCGAAAAGCGTTGGCGTTGATGCTGTGGGCGTATTTTTTTCCCTTTTTAATGCCGGTCAGGCTAACTACATAAGCAACCAGGCGGGAGCACTGCTTATCACATAAATATCATTTAGCACAAGCAGGAAAGCATAACCGACCCACCGACGAGCAGACGAAACGACGGTTGGAAGAGCAGGAAAGAAAAAGTATGCGCCGCCGCTGGTCCAATGTTTCTTTATAGCTGCGCAGCTGGGATGCTGCGCGTGAGTTTTTTGCCTCACAACACATGCGTTTGTGCCTAACAGATATACATAACATTTTTTTAATGCATATAACGTAAGTTGGTTCAACGGTCGTTGTAATTATGATTAAAGTAAAAAAGGAGAATTATCCCAACAAATTTAAAAAAAAATGTATAATTATCTATTATATTGATAGCTCTAAGTTGGTTATGAATTTCAGATTTAATTTTATAAAAAAAATTTTATCCAAATTATTTTATTCTTGAAACAGAATTTTTTTTAAATCTCCTCAGATTAAAAAACATCAGAACAAGTCTGCAAAAATTAAAGTTAAATTCTAGATTAATAGTTTTAAATTATATATAAATACAAAATAAATACTTTATTCATTTTATGAAATCCTATAAAAAATACTATCCGAAAGAAATATAACAATATGAAATAATTCGATAGGAAATCAATTTAAAATTAAAAACATTTTCCCTTTCATTTTTTTTTCTTCCGGCATGCTTTGTTTATTCAAAACGATGGCCCTTAAACTTCATTCTCCATTCATTCGCTCTCGAGAAAACACTCCAGTCTCTGACAAGAATTGAATTTCTCAAGTTCGCCTCCTCCAGCGCTGCATTTCAAATGATTCGTTTTGACTGATGTCAATTTCACCGACTGATGCCCGCGAACAAAAGTCACTTTACCGTTGTCGAGCTCAATTCTTGGCTTTGTTGTTTAAAATTTTTGCATGTGTACGCATTGCAAAGAAAGGTTGGCGCGAAAGGAAATCGCCTGTGTATATATTAAATAATAAACAAGCCGGAGAATGACCGACCACAAGGTCGACCGCCGGCGTATGGTCGGAGGAATGAAATAATTCACAAAGTGATTCGACCAACGGCCAGCCGCACATAAAGATTATTTACTCTGCTGCGTCCAACAAACCCATTTGACGCTGGGGCAGCCAAAACGAACTTTCATGCTGGAACTTCCTTTTGATGCTGGCGTTTGATTTGGGGAGTGTCTTTTTGTTTAATTAAGTAACCAACGCCTTTCCGCTCGCAAAAGAATTTTTTATTTCATTATGCTTTTATTTTTATTACTTCAAATAAAATAAATCGTTATTTGATAACTTTGAGTAACTATAAAGATATTAAAAACAACTCCATTTTTGTAAAACGTATTTTTTAAATTATTTTAATTTTTTTATGGGATTTTCCGCATGCATTTGATAAAATTCTCTATCAGTCAGCGATTTTTATACTACATTTCAATTGTATAGTCTACGCACAATTTTGCTATTCCAATATTCAACCAAGCATCCCTTGTCTGGCTGCCCACCCCGCTCACTCGCTCTTGTCTGGCGCGAAAACTCCCCTCGCTCTCACTATTAGTAGCTCTCTTCGTTTCCCTGTGCGATTGTGGCGCATCATTTCGAGTATCATTAGGGACGTCTCTCCATA